TCTGGTGCAGAGAAATGTTAATGTCTTCAAATTCATTATTCCTCAGATCGTCAAGTACAGTCCTGATTGCATCATAATTGTGGTTTCCAACCCAGGTATTATTATAACACTTTAAGTCTCTGTTCTGTTAAGTTCAGTGTTCTGGTGTTTTTGTGGTTATTGTTTTGGACTAAAATCAGTCCCAGTATTCATTTACAGAAGCAATTTACATGTCTTCTTTTATTGGCTCTAAATAGTGGTGTTTGCAAAACAAATGCCTCTGTCCCAGGCCAAATGTTCAAAATATGTGACAAGAGTTTTATGTAAAGCAATGTCATGTTTTTGCTTCATCTCGCTTGATTATAGATTCTAAAGGCTTTTACAACTTTTTTATAAAGATTATCCTGGGATGGAGAATGAAGCATTCGAATGTAGCTTCAGTTCATAAGAAACATTTTAACATATTTGACCTTTCATTTTCTGGAAAATCCCATTATACAGAATTGAAACAGATCAACTTTGAAAAGAAGTATATAAGAAAGCCATTAAACAATTCTGGTTTAAAGATAGAAATAGACTGAATTGATGGACAGATATATGCTAACACCAAATGCTCTGACTTAAAAATAGCTTTCCTTGCTAACTTAACATCTACAGGATGAACATTAAACCTTCTAACTAGAAAGAATGCACTTTTTTAGCCTTAACAGCTAAAATGTGCTCTATTTGATACTGCTTTTGTCTATAGTTTGCCACCAAAATTACTGCATGTTGGTGAGCATAGCAGGTCCATTGAGAAAACAGTAAATAAACTGGACTGATTATCTCTTACACTTCACATAGAGAAACGTTGTGAATAAGAGCTAGGGGAATCCCCACAGTGTCTTGAGTATTGAGAGTTGAGAGCCAGCGAGGACGGAGGTTATTTCCATATTTTTACTCTCTGCAAACCAAGATTGGAGTTTATTAAATGGTTCAGTCTTATATATAAAACTTCTCATAAATATATATGTGCCAGGCCGGGCACGGTGACTCACGCCTGTAATCCCAGCACTTTGGGAGGCCGAGACGGGCGGATCACGAGGTCAGGAGATCGAGACCACCTTGGCTAACACGGTGAAACCCTATCTCTACTAAAAATACAAAAAATTAGCTGGGCGTGGTGGCGGGCGCCTGTAGTCCCAGCTACTCCGGAGGCGGAGGCAGGAGAATAGCGTGAACCCGAGAGGCGGAGCTTGCAGTGAGCCGAGATCGCGCCACTGCACTCCAGCCTGGGCAACAGAGCCAGACTCCGTTTCAAAAACAAAACAAAACAAAAAATCAGGTAGATGTAGAATAGGAATGATAAGTAGCTGGCACATAGTAAGTTCTGCATCCTGTGCCTCAGGCAGGCATCACTAAATGATTATACAACTTTCTAGATATAGCTTCACAGCTGGATTTTCCAGGGAGTCACTTCCACTGAATCAAAGTTGGCAAGGAAAAGTTATCCAGTACCAAATGTCCTTGAATTATCATAGCCATTGTCGACAGAGTAGTGTGGGGGTGGAGGCTGCAGCATTAACTTTCAGCTCTTCACCTTCCTTGTGTGCACATTTTTTACTTTTTACATCTTAGCCTGCAAGTGCTGTGATCCTATCTGGATCAGCAGAAGTTTTATCTCTGTGGTTTTAAGGCTATGCCACACTGGAGCAAAGGTTCTGACATAGATGTTCTTTTATTAAATAGAAATGTTTAATACTATGTATTATCATAATTGTTTACTGAAGAATTCCTCATGCCCAGAAAAATTTATGGTAGCAAGATTTGGAAGTTTAGTAATCAAAGGCATCTTGATTTATGATGACAATCATAATTACGAATGTTACAATTGGTGGAACCTTAACTGACAACCTGGTTCAACCTGTTTCCTTTTTTTCAACTTGAAGTTAATCAATCTGCAAGGTTCTTATGTATTCTTGTTTCACATAATAATGCAAATGTGAAAGCACAGTATTGCATTTTTCATGTCTTGCCATCTTCATATAAGGCTTAAAAGCTTGTTTTTGTCTCTCTCATTCCTGTTCCCTCTAACAATGAAGTGTTAAAGTATTTATGTCTTTCTGGCCACATCTCATTTGAGGAATGGGGAAGTGGGAAAAGGGAAGTCAGGGCACCCCAAGCTGCCTAACAGTCGAAACTGGTTTTGGTTTACTTACATATATTATTTCCAAAATTTTTAGTGGACATTCTTACATATGTTACCTGGAAACTAAGT